GACCGACGCGGCCGCGGCGACGCTGACCGCTCGGCGCATCCAGGCGAGCACTCGAGTGCGGATCGGCGACTTGGGCGGGCAAGGCATTACGGCAACGCTCACACTTGCAGACGCGATGATGATGATGATGATGATGATAGTAGCGATGTTAGCGACGATGCTGACAGCGACGGCGGCGCGGCAAGTGACGGCGCTGATACCGATCGCGCCGACGACGACGACGGCGTCTTCGCGTCGGCGATGAAGGTTTTGGAGGGGATTCGAAACGCGCTCGCGGCAGACGCGCGAGTGGCTCGCATGGCATTATTTGACACGGGTCGCGTCACCCCATCACGCGCGCAAGGGCACTCGAACGATTTCGACATGCACGCGCGAAGCCCGCTTGGTAGCATATTATGTACATGTTGAAAAACTGATGGTCCTCTTCAGCATTCACAGGAGCGCGCGCGCACGCTTTTGTTGATACTCTGCGTTGCGAAACCGTGTGTTTCTGAATGTTGATTTACATCTATATATATATACACACATTTACATACCAAAGTTGTGTTAAGGATTTCGGCACGCGCGCGCGACGAAGCGCGCGCGCGCACTTCGTCCTACTGTTGTGCAGAGGATTCTCGCGACGGCACGCGCGCAAGGGCGCTCGAACGATTTCGACATGCGCGCGCGAAGCCCTATTGGTCGCATGCTCTTGAACTGCTGAATAAGGAGAGAAACTATGACTTTAGTAAAATTAGCCAGAACGCGCGCGAATTCTCGTTTTGAAAGTCCGCGTTGCGAAACCCTAGGTTTTGGCATGTTGTTTGAGCGCTCGATATTGAAATCCTTCCAGAACCAGAAGTTGTTGAAGAATTTCGGCGCGCGCGCGGCGACTTTACCCCATTTGCTGCAAAGAACTCTTGCAAACTTATGATTTATGATGAACGAGTGCGCGCGCACCATATGTTTTGCCAAGGATGGCGGGGGGGGGGGGGGGGGCGATGCCAGCCCGGCTGGGATGTAGGATGGATGTTGGGTTGGAACTCCATGCGTTTTGCGCATGTTCCCCCCGGGGGGTCTTGAAATCCGGGGAGGGGGGGGGGGGGGGGCGCGGCGGGCGGTGGGCCCTATCTCTCTTTAGAAAAGAGAGCTCAACAATGCTCAACTGGAAATTGCCCACTCCACTGCCCGCGCAAACATCCCACCCACCCACCCGCAACTTGGTTTGCTAACCCCATGCAGAAGCGATTGCGATGAGTGCTTGGCGTTGGCTGGCGCATCTCTGCTGCCGCGCTAGCCCTCGCATTCTCGCGCGCGCGACGCGAACGCGGCGGCGCTGGCCGCTCGGCGCATCCCAGCGGGCACTTCAGCGCGAGTCGGCGATTGGGGCGGGCGCAGCGCCATGGCAACGTCGACAGCGGCAGACGCGACGATGATAGCAGGGGCGCTGGCGGCGATGTTGACAGCGACGACGGGGTTGCCAGCGACGGCGCCGACGCTGATCACGCCGGCGACGATGACAGCGTCTTCGCGTCGGCGATGAAGGTTTTGGAAGTCAAAACGCGCGCGCGGCAGACGCGCGAGAGCGGCTCGAATGATATTCTCTGACGCGGATCGCGCCACCCCAGCACGCGCGCAAGGGAGTTCGAACGACATCGAAATGCGCGCGCGAAGCCCGTTTGGAAGCACGTTATGGGAATGTTGGAAGAAAAAAAAAAAACAAAAAAACGCATGGTTTCTGAAGAGTTCGCAAGAGGGCGCGCGCAAGCTTCTGTTGAACATCCGTGTTGCGAAACCTTGTTCTTTGATGAAAGCATGTTTTTTTTACGCTCGACTTCTAAATCCTGCCGAAATCTAGGGTTTCAAAGAATGTCAGCACGCGCGCGCGACAACGCGCACGCACAATTAGTCTTGTTGTTTGCAACGGATTCTCGCGACGGCACGCGCGCAAGGGCGTTCGAGAAATTTCGACGTGCGCGCGCGAAGCCCGTTTGGTCGCACGTTCTGAATATGTTGAGAGACCGCTGTTTGTCGCAAGAATGCGCAAGAAAACGCGCGAGCTTTTGTTGAACACCCGCGCTGCGAAACCCTGTGGTGCTTCAATATTAGAAAATGTTCTTTTCTTCGAACGCTCAATTTTGAAATCCTTCCGAAACCTGAGAAGGTTTCGAAACATTCCGACGCGCGCGCGACGACGCGCGCGCTTGCACTTCGCCCCATCTGTTGCAAAGGATTTCGGTAAACTTATGAGGATTGAAAAAACGAATGCGCGCGCATAAGATCTGTTGCCGAGGATGGCGGGGGGGGGGGGGGGGGGGGGGTCGATACCGGCTGTCCTGGGATGGCATGAACTCATAAGCAAGATGAACGAAGGGTAACGATCATACATGAATTCCAAATCGAAACGCGTAACGGATAACCCCGAGGGGGGCGATGGGGGTAGAATGGAAATTTCTTTTCAGAGAGGAGACTTCACTTGCCGAAATTGAAGAAGTCAACTCAATTGCTCGCGCAATCATCCCACCCACCCACCCGCAACGTGGTTTGCAAAACCCATCCGGGAGCGATTGCGATGAGTGCTTGGCGTTGGCTGGTGCATCTCTGCGGCCGCGCTGGCCCCCGCATTCTCGCGCGCGCAACGGCCAACTAGTCTGGCGCGCGCGACGCGAACACGGTGGCGCTGGCCGCTCGGCACGTCCCAGCGGGCACTTCAGTGCGAGTCGGCGACTCGGGCGGGCGCGGTATCATGGCAACGTTGACAAGGGTAGACACGATGATGATCGTAGCGATGCTGCTGGCGATGCTGGCAGCGACAACGGGGCAGCCAGTGACGGCGCCAATGCTGATCACGCCGACGACGATGACGGCGTCATCGCGAGGTGATGAAAGTTTTGGAGGGATTTCGAAACGCGCACGCGGAAGACGCGCGAGAGTGGCTCGCATGGCATTCTTCGACACGGATCGTGCCACCCCAGCACGCGCGCAAGGGCGTTCGAACGACGTCGACATGCGCGCGCGAAGCCCGTTCGGTGTAGCATTTTATGAGAATGTTCAAAAGACTATGTTCTTAAGAACTCGCAAGAGCACGCACGCACGCTTTTGTTGAAAATCCGCGTTGCGCAACCCTGTGTTTCTTTATGTTTTTTTGTGACACTCGGTCTCGACATTCTTCCAGGAACGAAAGTGTCTGAAGGATTTCGGCATGCGCGCGCGGAGACGCGCGCGTGCACTTTTGTCTCGTTTTCTGCAGCGGATGGTTGAAAACTTATGGCTTTGGATAAACTAGTACGCGCGCATAGTATATCTTGCAAGGGAACCAAAAAGGGGGCCGATACTGGCTTTCCTGGGATATTATGAATTCACAAGTAGGGTGGACATTGGGTCGGAATCATGTGTGTTGCATGGGTTCCCGGGGAATCGATAGGTCTGGGGGGGAGGGACACATTTTTTACAAAAAGAAAAATCTACGTTGTGCAAAACAAGAGGAGCCATATATGTGGTACACGATATGGCGCACTCTACGATCTTCCATATACCGTGTATAAATGAATATAGAGTGTGCAGCGCACGTTGTGCAATCTATGTGGCGAAACCTATGTGATGCAATATGCGTTGTGCGATCTATGCGGTGTGCAATTTATGTGGTGCATTCTATGTAGGTGCAGTCTGCGTTGTGCAATCTACGTTGTGTAATGTATGTTGTGGAATATATGCGGGGCAGCGACGGGGCGGCGACGGCGGCAACAATCGCGGCAACCGACAAACAGACCCAGACGACGGGCGGCGACGAGGCGGCGACTGGGCGGCGGCGGCGGCAACAAGCGCGGAGACCGACAGACAGGCCCAGAGGACAGGCCGCGAAGGGACGGCGACGGGGCGGCGACGGGGCGGCGACGGCGGCAACAATCGCGGCGACCGGCAGATAAGCCCAGACGAGGAAGCGGCGACGAGGCGGCGACGGGGCGGCGACGGCGGCAAAGTAGCCGCCAGACCGACACACAGGCCCAGACGACGAGGTGGCGACGAGGCGGCGACGGGGCGGCGACGGCGGCCAAATAGCCGCCAGACCGACAGACAGGCCCAGTTCCTCAGAAAAGAAATAAGAACCCCCAAGTGCAAGCACTTTGGGGGAACCTTCTGTATCGTAGTATTGATATCTCTCTTTCTCTCTCTCTCTCTCTCTATTCCGCTCTCTCTTTCTCTCTCTCTCTCTCTCTCTCTTTTTCTCTCTCTCTCTCTCTCTCTCTCTCTCTCTCTCCCGTCCTCTACATATGCCTCCGTGTTGTGTGCTGTTTCTCCGTCCGCTGGTGCATCTGTATATGTATGTGTATATGTCTATATGTGCGTGGATGTGTTCCTCCCTCTCTCTCTCTCTCTATCGTTCTTTCCGCCCCCCCCCGCCCTGAAAGAGCACATGGCAGAAAGGAGCGACGAGACAGAACGTATTCATTAGAGGAGAGGAGGGACTGAACGCACGAAAACAATGTAGCAGAGAGGAGAGGATGAGAGACAGCAATAAGGAGGGAGGTGATAGGATGAAAGGAGACGGCGACGAACAGATAGCACGAGAAAGGAAAGATGGCAAAGGCGAAGGAGGAGAGGGGGAAGAGAACAGAAGGGATACCATACCATAGGCGCAAACTTCATCTGCAATAGAATGTTGATGCGTGAAGATGGGTCGCGACGGCAAACTGCAGGCGTCGCATGTGCTCCGCCCCACACTGCGACTGCGAGGAGGGGCCCCAGTGGGGTGGGGCGGGGGACGATGAGGCGAGGGAGGGGCAGGCGGGGGAGAGGGGGTAGGACACGAGATCTGCGGAGGAAGGACAGGGGGCGGGGTAAACGGTGCGCAAGATGGCCCTGAACCTACCACTCGTGGTCGACGGAGTGACGGTGGGGGGGCGTCGCCTGGCCGCTGCTGACTCCTTTCCTCCGCCACATCCTCGCGGCGCGCCGACGCGCGCCAGCCTCTGGCGTCAATGCGACGCCCGCCGCCGGGGCACGCGCGGCCGAGGGCTCACCTCCCGGGCTCCCGCCGCCGGGTGCGACGCCCGCCGCCGGGGAGCGCGCGGCCTCGGGCTCGCCCCGCGGGCGCCCTCGGGCGCCCGCCGCCGCGGCGCGCGCGGCGGAGCGCCCGCCTCCCGAGCCCCCGCCGCGGGCGGCACCGCGCCCTCCCCGGCGCGCGCCAGCCAGGCGCAGATGGGCCCCGAGAGGTGCGCCGAGCGCAGCGAGCCGTTGGGCGGGCGCAGGCGGGCCTCCGGCGGCGGCAGGCCGCCCGGCGCGGCGCAGGCGGCCAGCCGCGGCTCGGCCCGCAGCCGCTGGGTGGCGACGAGCACCGCCATGCAGTCCAGGAACTCCTCCCGCGCCTCTGGCCATCGCTCGGACGTCAATTCCGTGTGCATTTGTCAGTTTCGTGCGTGGTTGTTTCCGCCAAATGATCAAGGATGTTCCTCGATGGTCCTCGCCGAAGGAAACATGCGCACGCCCGAGCGATGCAAAAGGCCTCCGAGCTCCGCTCCACCAGCGCGAGCGGCCCCGCTGGGGCGTCGATGAGCAGCACGCAGGCGAGGTGGGCGTCCGCCGCGCCGCGGCGCAGCGCGCCGTGGGCGCGGCGGGCCAGCTCGCTGTCCGAGCAGACCCAGATGTTGCGCACGTCCGCTAGCTTGCATCGGAACGCCTTCTCGCGACTCGGGGCTGACCCAAGCTCCTCCACGACCAGCACGGCACCCCCGTCCTCCACGCGGTACCGCGCCGGTGCCGCCAGGCCGGTCTGCTGGTCGACGAGGCGGCATGGCGAGCCGCCGCTTGTGCGCCTCAGGAACAGGAGGGTGCGCCTCTGGGGGAGCAAAAGCAACATCGATGACAAGCCGCCGTGAGGAACCAATCAGCGTGCTTTTGTTGAAGACATAGGGGCTCACAACGGCAGCGTGTTATTGATACTCTTCCTCCCTCCCGAGCCTCCTCGGGCCCTCCAGGTCTTCCGACGAAGACGAAGGAGTGACACGCCAAGGGGCTCACAACGGCAGCGTGTCATTGATGCTCTTCATCCCTCCCGAGCCTCCTCAGGCCCTCAGCACGACTGGCCCACTCTCGCGCGGCCCGCGCCGCCTCTGCGCCGGACAGCCTCGGCGCAATGCCGGCGGGCAGCCAGGCAGCCTCGTCCGCCCCGCTCTCGGCGGAGCAGCGCGGCACCTCCGCGGCGCCGCCGGCCTCGGGCAGGGACAGCTGGCCGGGCTCGTCCCAGACGAAGCCGCGCGGCCCGCCGCCAGAGCAGCAGCCGCTAGCAGATGGCTGAAGCCCCATGGCGTGAGGGGCCAGGCGCTGGCGTCGCGGCGCAGCCTGACGGAAACACACAAACACACACACACACACATACACACACACACAGATAACAGAAATCAGCAACAACAGCAGCAGCAGCAATAACAATAGCAGCAACAACAAAAGCAGCAACAACAGCAGCAACAAGAATACCAACAATCATTTTAAGACCGTTCGCTCTTACTGGCGCGCGTGTTTTGCATTCCGTATACCCCAACCCTCGATACCCGCCCATTTCGTCTTCGATTGCACCCCCTTTCGGGGAGAATCTCTTCCTTGTCGGCCACTGACTGAAGTGCGAAGAAACCTCGAGCGAGAGCGCCGTTCCTGCGTTCGGGGGCCTCTCTGACCACGGGTTCTCGGAATACCTATGGAGAAATATCGAACGGGAGCCCTTGTCGCCGTGTCCGGGCCTCCACCAACTTGCCTGAATTACGGGAACGTCTCGAGCGAGAGCGCCGTTCCTGAGTTCGGGGGCCTTCTTGGCCAGGGGCTCTCGGAGTAAATTGTGAGGAAGTATCCAGCCCTTGTCGTCGTGGCTGGGCCTCCGCCAACTTAATTGAATTGCGAGGACATCCCGAGCGAGAGCGCCGTTCCTGAGTTTGGGGGCCTCTCTGGCCAGGGTGTCTCGGGGTAAACTGTGAGAAAGTATCGAGCGGGAACCATTGTTGTCGTAGCTGGGCCTCCAAGGGCCCACATTTAGGCTCAAGCCAACGCTCGAGCGGGAGCCTCGTTTTCAGAGAAAATGTAGCCGGCGTCGAGGCGAGAGCGCGCGGAACCGCTTCCAGAGATCAAAGCAACAACACAAAAAACTGCAATGACAGCATCAACATCATCAATAACAACAACAACCACAACAACAACAACGACGACGACGGTTACCACAACAACAGCGAGAACAACAATTATAATACAAATAAGAAACACAAGCAGCAGCAACAACAATAAAAACTGCAAGAAACAACAACGCGCACCCACCCTCCGAATCCGTCTCCTCCTGCTGCTCCTCCTCCTCATCATCATCAACACCACCACCACCACACCATCATCATCATCATCATCATCATCATCATCATCATCATCGTCGTCGTCGTCGTCATCATCATCATCATCATAACCAGCATCATCATAGTCAGCATCACTATCATCATTCTCCTCATCAGAATCAGCATCAGCATCACCATCATCAACATCATCATCATCGCCACGATGACCATTGTCATAAGCAGCAGCAGAAGCATTAGCATCAGCATGATCCGCATCAGCTACATCCTGATCACCATCCGCCTCGTCGTCGTCGTCATCAGAATAATGATCATCAGCATCAGCAGCATCATCATCAGCATCAGCATCAGCATCATCAATATCATCTACATCATCAGTATCAGCCTCATCATCCTTACCATGATCGGCAACATCAGCATCATCATAACAACCATCGACAACAGCTGCATTATCATAACAATCGTCGACAGCAGCAGCAACATCATCACCGCCACCACCCTCGCCATTATGAGAAGAAGCATCACCATCATCATCACAATCACCATCACCATCACCATCACCATCGCCATCATCATCACCATCAACATCAGCATCATCAGCATCATCATCATCATCAGCATCACCATCACCGTCGCCGCTGTAAACCTCATAAGTATGATAATCGTTGCCATCATCCTTATCATTATCAAAATCCTCATCATCAGCATCATCACCATTCTAATCATCATCACGATCATCAGCAATATCAGGATCATCGTCATCGTCAATATCTTCATCACCATCGTCCTGGTCCTTGCCCATATCCTCCTGACGTGTCCTGCACATAAAACAAATTAGAATGCCATGCACCTTCGCGTCATCAGGTACGAGCCTGGTCCATGGCACAACTGCGTCTTGGAATGCGTATTGGGCGTGGCTAGACGCACAACTAGTAAGAGAGCGGCCGAACAGACCACCGCTTGCCCCGACGACAAGTCATCAGAATCGTCATCATACTTAACATCAAAATCACCATCATCATCATCATCATCATCATCATCATCATCATCATCATCATCATCATCATCATCATCATCATCATCATCATTATCATTATCATGAGCATCCTCATCATCAGCATCATCATCACCACCATAATCATCATCATCGTCGTCGTCACCATCATCATCAGCAGCCACATCATCATCAGCATCAGCATCATCAGCATCGTCATAATCATTACCAACATCATCATCATCATCATCGTCATCATCAACACAAATATCGTCATCACCATCAGCAGCAGCAGCAGCATCAGCATCATCATCAGCATCATCAGTATCATCATCAGCATCATCATCAGCACAGCCATCAACATCATCAAAATAATTGTCAGCACCATCACCATAATTATCATCAGCAGCAGCATCAGCATCAGCATCGTCATCGTCATCATCCTCATCAACATCATTAGCATCAGCCTCATCAACATCAGCATCTTCCACATCATCATCATTATCATCATCAGCATCATCCGCCCCATGAATCGTGTCATCATCATCCTTGTCGTCATGGCAATCCTCCTACGTTTCCCATTGACTCTCCTGTTCGAGGTCATAGATGCGCCCGCTCATGTCTCCAGCTCATCGGCAGATGCACAAACAATATATCAGGAGACAGGGGGAGAGAGAGAGAGAGAGAGAGAGAAGAAAAAAAAAAAAAGAGAGAGAGGCCTCCCGCCGAGATCAAAAACAAATTGACATGCCAGCGCGGCGCACTTCCAGGCACCACCCGCCCATTGGCGACCTCATGCGGACGCCACAGGAAATCGCTGGCCCAACGGGTCAAAGGCGTGTTTCGAATCTCCAGTGAGAGGTTCAGGGTTATGTTTACTAGGTCGCGCGCGCGTGGCGGCCTCTCGGAGTCCCGGGAGGAAAAATAACCCGGCAAGAACCCGGGAAGAGCCCCAGAAGCACCCAGGCAACCCGGGTCAGAGATGATTTAGGTCCTGGGCGCGGCCCTCAGGACCCTCACCGCTGTCCACGGATCGTCCCAACGGACCTCCAAGAGAGCCCGAAAGCGGCCCAGGAGAGCAGATCAATCGGTAGCACGCCCCAGGAAGCCCCCTGGTTAGCCGAAAGGGGCCATGAGACAGCCCTGCGGTGGCCAAAGCTGGTCCAAGGCAGCCCCCAAGAGTCCTCCAGATGGTCCAAAGCCTTCCAAACACTGAATGATTTGGGCTTTCTCGCCTTTCCGCTCCAAAGGGCTCAAGGAGCATCCTGGCTCAAGTCGGCTCCAGGAGCCCCACCTCCACCCACGACGTCCTCCTCGTCCATCGTCATGGGTGAAGGGGGCCCAGGACACACAAATAAATACACACAAATAAAAATATCGCCCATATTTTCCCATATTTTCTAGGTTTTTGTTTTCCCCCCCACTTCCCATATTTTCCCATGTTTCCCAGGGAATCGACGATTAATTGTGTCTGTGTGTTTCTTTCCCTCCTGAATGGGGTCCTGAGTCACCGAGGTGACTCGACGGGGCCCCCCCGCCCTTCTTCCCCACCCGCTTGCGCGCCTGCAGGGCACGGCTCGGATCCGATGGAGGCGATGCCGCGCGCTGCTCCTGTCGTCACGCCCGCGCCCGCTCGCCACTGCTGGCCGCCGAGGGGGGCGCTCCGGCCCCACGGGGCTGGGCAAAGGGGGCTGCGATGGCACACGGGTTGGCGAAGCCACTCGTCCTGGTACGAGGCCGATGTGGCATCACAGCAGCAATTCGGCCCCTGACTTTCGTCCTGGGCTCGGTTTAGTGAAGTGATGAGCTTCGGGGTCCTCACGTGGGGAAAAACATCACTTCACTAATCTGGGGCCCCTGGGGCCTCAGTGAGCCCTGGGGCCCAAAATTAGTGAAGTGATGCTTTTCGGGCCTCGGACCTGGTCCTCCAGCCGCACTGGGCACCCCCTTGGGCGGCGAAAGGCCCCCCTTGGAGGCGGAAGCGCAGCCCGAGCGGGAATGGCCCCCGCACACCGAGCGTCGACGAGGCCGGGCCGCCCGCCAGCGCCGCTCCCGCTGGTGTGCGCTCTTCCGCCCAGCGGCCAGCGCGGCAATCCGCGCAGAGGAGCCTGCGCCCCCGCCGCGCCGCGGTCCGTGGAGGGGACCCCAGGGAGGCGAAGGTCTCGCAGCCGCACCGGCGCATACGACACTGATGCACTGTCTGCGGGACGTCGCCGGAGTGGCTTCGACGAGGCGACGCCGCAGGTCAGCTCCAGGGTTCATGGCCCCGTCCCCCGCTGCCCGCGACAGGACCGTCGGGGTCGCCCGCGGGGCTCAGTGCAGAATGTGCGGGCGCACCTCGAAGGGCACCGGAACGGCAAGCTGCAGGGAGCTATTCTGGAGTTTCTTCGGCGGCATCGGCTGGTACCATGCGCGGGGTGCGCACGGTTTGTCCACACCTCGCTTGGTCAGCAGCGGGTCCCCTGGGGCAGCCAGCGCCTGATCTTGACCGCCTTCCTGGTTCGTGGGCCGCTGGCTTGCCGTCCCTGGCAACAATTATGCAAGCCAACGTACCTACTGTGAAGAGGGTGCCGAGCTCATGCAAGCGTTTGTGGTCCACTGTCCTGACTTGTTCAATGGCATCCGCAGTTTTTTTGAACGTGGCTCCGGGGGTCGACGCCTCCGAAGAAGCAAAGCAGCGTTCGCGTGACACTTGGGCCGAGTTTCTGATGCTACCAAAATGTGTTTTGGCAGCCGCTCTGGGATCCGGCAAGGAACACACGCACGTACAGGATAGGATCATCAGAACCCGCTTGCAACAATGAGAAGATGGTGCACGCTTGGAGTTGTGGCGCTCTCACACACATGACAGAACACCTTTGCCCAAGTGTCCCGGAGGAGCAGCAGAGGCTCCGAGCCATCGCCTTAGCCGCAGGGGTATTGATTGGCAGGCGTCGTTAGGGGAACAAAAAGTGGCATAAACATAAAAACTCGGAGGTCCGCGCGGACCTCCGAGTTTTTATGTTTATGACACTTTTTGTTC